AATGAAAGATATGAACCACAGAAAAGGAAGGATAAAATTTGCCACCTTAACAATAGAGCAAGTTTCCAGTTGCTCAGAACTGACAAAATAGCCAAGACTAAGGGATTTTTGAAAGATGAAAAGCCATGGAATTAGTCTAATTTCTGGGGTAAGAATGATCTATTACAGGGGCATCAAACTCAAAGCCCAGGGAACAGATCTGGCCCATGGGGAGCTTTGATCTGGCCCACAGGGCTGCCCTGGAAATGGGAAAGGACCGACCCATGGTGCCTCTGCCAGTGAAAACAGAGCTCAGGAGGGCCTCAGGAGAGAGCAGTGCTCCTAAGTTCTGTTTTTGCTGGAAGAGGGTTGCAGGAGGCCGTCGTAGCCAAAAACAGAGCTCAAGAGGCCATTTTCACTGGCATAGTGCTCGGGCCACCACAGGAACCCCCAGCATGAGTGATGTCAAGTTGGCCATGCCCACCCCCGCCCCCGAGGTCAAACACAACTCTGATGTGGCCCTCAATGAAATTGAGTTTGACACACCTGATATATAAGGTGGGCACTGCAGCAGAAAAGGTACGTCTCCTAGTAGCTACCAAATGATGGTTCTTAGCTAATGGTACCCACAACATGCCACTCTGCCAGATCTAGTGAGGCAGGCTGATGTAATTAGATAAAGGGGGGTCTCTCAGATAAGCTGATCTGCTTTGACACTTCATATTATGTTTTCAGTGTAAATAGTGATCTATTTTCTTTTCACTTAGGTTCTTGATAAGGAAAAGCAACCACAGGCTTTCAGTAATACTACTAAATTATTTTCACATCTCTCCAACAATGACATTACTTCATGCCTTATAGTTTACATCTATTGTGTTCTTCAAAGTATTGAAGTTTATCATACATAGAACAATAGAATGTGCACACAATTAAAAATATACCTTTGTTTTACCTTGATGAGACTGAATATTATTAATAGAATGACTGGTAGAAATAAAAAAAATGAAAGGATGAGAATCATTATCCTAGAAAGCCCATATAACTGCAACATTTTTTCAGAATGAAGGAGTGTTCCTCTTTCTTTCAGAGCAAGATTCAGTCTGCATTGCAAATTGGCAATATTAATTATTTCCCTCCTTTCTCACTGCTATATTTCCTGGCTGCCTGAAGTTTATGAATACACCTCATCATAAGTATTATTTGAGAAATATAAATCCAGTTATTTCTCCTCCAAAGAAAAGAATGACAGCATCTTACCACAAGCAGCCAAGTTATTAATTGTTAAAAAGGAACAAGATAAAACAGCAGCAAAACCAAAAACACAAAGAACCAAAATAAACCCTCAAATCAAATCAAGTAACAGCACATGCTGGCAGTTTTCATACATATCCATAAGGGAATTCTCTGCTGTTCCTTCACCACAAAGAGATAAACTGAGGTGAGCTTGTACTTGGGAACTTTTCCATAAATCTGTTTTGGCAATCAATAGCAAAGACAGTCATTCACTAAACAAGCAGAAGAATATAATTATTGCCCAATTATTTTTGAATCTTACAGAAAAAAGTTACAAGATACAGGCACATTTTCTGTCTCTTATATATCCCTACTGATATCCTCACACAGTTCCTAATTTATCTTATTTACAGGCTCTAAATATTAGGACAATATTGAAAATTTCTTTGTTTGCTAAAAGGTTACATTCTCCATCATAGACTAACTTACTCACCTCTTACTCCTTAGTTTGCTTTTAGATTTTGCTTTCTGTAATGAACTAGTAGGAATACATATAAACTCTTGCACATACTGTGCATACACATTACACATGTATGCATGCATGCACACAAACACATAAACGCAAAGAATAGCTGTGTCCTGAATTGTTTACAAAATGAAAGTGTGTATTTCCTTTTAAAGGATTTGCAGGATTTCTGCCTCATCCTAAATCTTTTAAAGAGAGTCTGATTTGTCTCAGCATTCCATTCAGTTGGATGCATGTATTTTATTATATGAAAGTATGCTATTCTATTGGGACTTCCATTTATCAGCTGTCACTATCTGTTGTTACTCTTTTTAATTAAAAATAAATAATTTCAGTTTTTGTGTGTGCATGCAAGAGTATAAAAGTCTCTAGAGACCATTATACAACATGGCCCAGACAGAAAAGTTTATCTAATTTATCTACAGCCAATGAAAAGCTAATTACCCCTGCCCCCAAAATAATGACTATTAGACAATTCCATTAAGGTTTTTTTTTACATGTTTAGTCTAATTGTCATCAGATATCTTCAAATTTTACACTTCTAGAACAATATGAAGCAATAGCTACAGCATTTTGAAGGTATAGAAAATCTTCAACAGAAAACAAAAGCATAAGTAATTTCAAATAACGTTGAGTTCTTACTAGTGCAATAATAGAGGATGGTTTTTGACAAATTACTGTTTTCTCATATATAATAAATTAATTTATAACTACTTGTTTATATTTCTAAAGCCTAATATGGCATAGTTTCTATGTACATTCAGGATTGCCTCCTATAACTCAAATTCACCTGCCTGTGTTCTTTTCTGGAGGAGTTGTGTTTGATTCCCAGACCATATGAGTTAAGAGGATTGTGCCTAGAGACTGTCCTTCTTGGTAATGTCCCCAACCATATGGAGTATCTTACTCCATAAGGTTTCTTTGACTCCCAACTTGCTGGCTTTTTACAAGGATATAAAAACTATATTGTTCCAAAGAACATTTGGGCGCGAGTGGAATTTTGGGCTATTAGTTTGCTTTGGCATTTCTTATTTTTATTAAATGTTTTAATATGTGGGTTATTTTGGATTATTGAAGTCTGTCTATTATTTTCCTTTTCTTGTTGAGTTCTGCTTTTATAGCTTTTAAATGTTTCTTAAGTTATTTTTAATGTTTTTAGTTAATGTTTTTTTTATATTGGAGTATACACCATCGAAAGTCGTTCTATGAGATAGGCAGATATATAAATTTGATTAATAAATCAATGGTTAGATTGTTCTAATCCTACCAACTACTCATAGCTAATAAAACTAGTCTCTTAATCTCATTAAATAGATTTATTTAAGGGAAACAAGACTTAAGTTACAGTCTCTTGGAAACTGACTATATATGTGTTAGTCACCTTTTATAGAGTAGGTAAAGATAGGTCTCTTTGATCCCATTAATTCTCTTTATACAGAAGATATGCCTGGGAAGGAAGGAAGGAAGGAAGGAAGGAAGGAAGGAAGGAAGGAAGGAAGGAAGGAAGGAAGGAA